TATGGCCACCAGTGGAGAATGGCTCTGGCCAAACACAGTTAAAGATGCTCTGAAGAACCACCAAGTTGCAAGGTAATCTGTAAATCATAGGCATTGATGCTCAAGAGACCCCAGGAGAAGATGCTCCTCGGTCCAAATATAGCATCTAAGAGTGAGTTTCATAGAGGAAGTTGCTTCTCTATCTCTGCAGTGTAAGGTTTTCTAGATAGGATTTATTATTATTATTATTAATTTATTTATTTGCCAGTCCTGGGCTTGAACTCAGGTTCTGGGTGCTGTCCCCGAGCCTCTCTGTGCTCAAGGTTAGTGCTTTACCACTTGAGCCACAGCACCACTTCTGGCTTTTTCTGAGTAGTTTTATTGGAGATAAGAGTTTCATGGACTTTCCTGCCTTTGGCTGGCTTTGAACCGTGATCCTCAGCTCTGAGCTTCCTAAGTAGCTAGGATTACAGGTGTGAGCCACCAGCACCCAGCTCTAGATAGGATTTTTGCAGATAAATTAGAGACTCTGTACTTATTCATATTCCTGATATATGCCCAGGAATATACTGGGACCTTGGTATTGCTCTAGAATTGATACCAAGCAGCATCCTTCCAGAGCAAGTCTAAGCCATCAGCTGCTCTTTTTGCCATCTAAGTGATTTCTATGATGGCATAAGTCCAAGTCTAATCCATTTAAACAGAAGAAATCTATAAACACCTGCATGTGATTGATTAGCAAATTGGGATTTCTTTAACTGGCTGCTTGTTTAGTCTTCTGTTCAAAACAACCACAAAGCAAAAGCAGGTCACTGACATCACACCCTACTGAAGCTTTGATTTGCACAGAAGAGGAGGCTATTATATTTGGGAGCCCCTGACCTACCTTCACAGTGCTGTGTTCCTGCATTCTCGGTCCACTGGATTGACAACTGCGATGTCATTGGATGATTTTATTCCTACACAGAAAATGGTTACATGAGGGAAGGCTGACTTGGGGAAGTTACAATCTATGTTGTTCTGTAAGATACCGGTGGATGTATTCCCTACCCATTCACTTCTACTCTGCTCTTTCACACAACCACGGACTTGATTCAGTATGCTTTTCTGGTGAATTTTAAATTCACTTTCAGGAAATTGCCACAGTTGTTAGTGTTTGTATTTGGGCAGAGAAAGAAGAGAAGCACAAGGCAGGGTTTGGAGAATCCCGTCAAGAAAGAAGAAAGCAGAGGGGAGAACATGTTGGGGACAGAGGCACACCTGAACATCGGGGAGCAGCGACAGGCAGTGCGAGAGTGCATCCCGGCAGAGAGGACGCCATGACCCCACGCACTGGACATGGCTCAAGCAGGTGCTCACCGCCCCTCCCGGGAGACCTTCCAGCATGCAGTGCCTGGGTCTGCCTCAGAGGTCAGCCTGAAGCACATCAAAGAAAGCTCTGCCGTCACAAAAGGGCCTCTTATGAGGCATTGGCAACAAACCACAACAGCTGGATGCTGGTGGCTCACGCCTGTCATCCTAGCTTCTCAGGAGGCTGACATCTGAGGACCTACGGTTTGAAGCCAGTCTGGACAGGAAAGTCTGTGAGACTCTTCTCTCCAATTAACCACCAAAAAACTGGAGCGGTGGTAGAGCACTACCCTTGAGCAAAAAAGCTCAGGGATAGCACCCAGGCCCCAAGGTCAAGCCCCATGACCAAAAAAAAAAAAAAAAAAATAGCTCTTTACCTACCAAAAACACTTGAGCATTTGTTTTAAAAAAGATATGGTAGGGAGAGCCTACAAGGTTCCCCTGAGAAAAGGGTCAAAAAGTAGAAATCATGATTACAATGATGTGTATAGGGTACCTAAGATGTCATTGATATTCTCTTCATTTCCATGTGTCAGCTTTTACATGTTGTTTTTTCTGAATAGCTGGGTCTGGGTTTCCTACAGTGTGGGAGACAGTCTTTAGGTGGTGACCACATGTAGCATTCAAGTACATTGACTTACACATTAAGAAAATTCTTATGTTTCCTATTCTATGCAGAACCTGATCTAAAGTACACCAGGCCACGATCAATTATACAGGACTCTGGGCAGCCACAGACAGTGAGGCCAGAGAAGATATTCTTGGAGAGGAACACAAAGGCACGATGCCTACGCACCTCTGATCACATAAAATAATAGTTATCGAAATATTATTTCCAGGAAATGGAAACAAAAAAGTAGTAGTACATAGGAAAAGAGGAAAAGAGGGGGAGAATGCAGTCCAAGAATTTATTGTATAGACCAAAAAATTGAGACAAGTAAGGGAAGGGGCGGGTGAGAATGTTGAAAGGCTGGCATCGATTGGGAGGCCTTGTATGCAAAAACTGCTTTGTTAAATGGCACCGCCTTTGCACAACTACTTAATCATAATAAAGAAATTTTAAAGAAAATAATACTTTTTAGAAGTTGTTAATGAACAGAATATCAGAATTAGACTGTGATTGTCAAGTAAACAGCCTAAACTGTTATTGCCTTCTAGGCTTTAAACAAAACAAATATTCTTACCTTTAGTAAGCCTGTTATCTGTTAAAAATCTCACTAGCTGGGCAATGGTGGCTCACACCCATAATCCTTGCTGCTCAAGAGGCTGAGATCTGAGGCTCACGGTTCAAAGCCAGCCCAGGCAGGAAAGTCCATGAGATTCTTATCTCCAATTAACCACCAGAAAAAAATGGGAAGTGGAGCTCAGGGACAGTGTCCAGGCCCAGAGTTCAGGCCCATGACTGACAAAAAAAAAAAAAAAAAAAGGGAAAGAAAAGAAAAGGAAAAAGGAAAAAAAATCCCTTTAAATAAGTTGTGAAATTTAAGTCACCATTCATTTTGTAAATTCATCTTGGTCAAAACTGTATTTTTAAGGTTATTTATTTCTTGCAACAAAATATATTATTTGCAACTAAAACAATGTACTTTTAAGGGGAAAAAAAGGTACATTTATCTGTTCCATTTCAAACCTGTGGAGAAGCCTTGTGTTTGGCCATAATGAGTCTAACACCCCTCTCACACACTTACTAATCTCCTGTTTCAACAAAGCCAAGGTAGGCCAGAGGCTCAAGAACCACAGCTGGAATTTAGTCACATCGGTTTGTTTGTTTGTTTCCAACTCTATTTGCTTTTACCTTCTATCTGTGACAAGAGGTTCTGATTTATTAAGGCAGGACCAATTTGCATCATCAGGGATGCTGGCCTCACGCCAGTGAATTTGGGAAGAAGCAGAGTATCGGCAGGATGATTTTCAGAGGCTCTGGTAAGGTTCACCCCAACATATTTTCTAGCTAAGCAGTGAACTGGATCGGGACGGCACTGAGGTGGATGAATTAAGGATAGGAACTTGGGTCAGGAGTGGGAGAAGACTCCCAGAAAGTCAAATAACTAGGAGCCCCCTTCTTGAAGAAGAGCCCATGCTGCACCTAGGGCATTCTATGCTGCTCTCACCCACCCCCATTGCAGACAGGCTGAGAACTTACACAACACTCACACAGGGTCCTAACGTCACACAGAAGCATAAACGGGATCACAAAATGTCTGTGCCATAGAAGAAAGACAAATACATAGCAGTACCCCAGAAAGAGTGAAAGGAGGAAACTAACAAGGCACTGTAGAAAAGAGAAAATTAAACATGATATTCATGAAGAAAACCAGAAGCAGCCTAGGAAAGGAATGAAAGAGAGAAAGGAAGGAAGGAAGCAAGGAAGGAAGGAGGAAAGAAGGGAGAAAAAGAAAATAAAATTTCCTTATGTGCATATACTTTCAGAAATATTTTAGAGCCAGAATATAATCAGGAAGACTTAGACTATCAAAGAACATGTTGAACTATATAAATAGAAAACTGTTCCTTATCTGAAACATACAACAAAATTCAGGATCCTTGCTGATGTGCTAGAAGCAATCCCATTAAATTCAGAAATAGAGATATGATCTGCACTAATGTTAAAATTATATCTACCTGTGTGCTGTGCCATAAGATGGAGGGGAGTATAAATGTTAGGGGTAACTTGAAATTGTCACTTTTGCAAAGGATTGCTTTACATAGAAAATAGGGAAATGAATCAAGTGGAAACTTAATTTTTATTTTAAATGATTTATTTATTAGAAGTTTAGCCCAGGGAAAGCAAATCCAAGATTTGTATAAAGAAATCAATAGCTTGTTCACACACTAGCCCAAACCATCCTAAAAGTACTTTCAAGTAAATAATCTTCAAAGTAACAACAAAATTTCAAAATATGCTAAAATAAGCATAGAAAAAATATAGGCCTAAATGAGGAAAATTATATGCTTTACTGAAGAATATAAAGACTTGAACAAATGGAGCGCTGTACCACAGTATAAAGTTGTTAATTTTCCCATAAATTAATACATAATTTGGGTGACATTTTCAACATACTGTTAGTGTATATTTTTTTAACTTGAGAAGCTAATTCTAATACTCAGAGCTATTGTGCCCAAGAATAAACAAGAACTTTGGCCTTGAAAAAAAATGGTATTACTGCTCAATTGGTGATGAAGGAAGATATAAGTGAACATTGCCTAGAAAAAGATACTTCCTTGGTAATTGGAGACATGTGAAATAAAGAAATAGCAAAACATGAGCTTCTGCGTTTGAGGGGTTTTGTGTGTGTGTGTGTGTGTGTGTGTGTGTGTGTGTTGTTGTTGTTGTTGTTGTTATTTGATTTTGTTTAGGTCCTTAAATTTTCAGAAGGTAATGTGAACAGAGAAAAACAAACTCACTCACATAGTTTTTTCAACAGTAATTGGCTGCACATTTGAAGGGTGCATTCTGTCCAACCAAACACTAAGCCAATAGCTCTCCAGTGCTTGTTCCTGGCATACATGCACACATGCTCCAAGATGGCTGATCCTAAAAGTTCACAGAGCATCATGCCATGCCCAAAAGGTCGTGAGCAATATAAATTCTAATCAATAGGAAAGTTATTTTTTAAATCACAGTGCATTTATCCTTGAGGATGCAGTGTAGCTGTGTTGTGTTTTCAAAGTTTGTCTCTCAGTCTATTTATACTGATGCTGCAACAACTCCAAGATATGTGATAAAATATCAAAAGAAACTTGGAGAATGTCATGTCCTTTGAGACATGATTATGTCCACATTCTTATGCATGTATGCCCGTGCATGTGATTGTGCACGCACAGAACAGAAACAACTTTTAGGAACAGGATAAAGATCAGAGATGAGGTGGAACAAGAGGACCTTTTGCTTTCTCTGTATTCGTTGTAACTTAAAGTTGAAAATGAAGAAGATAATTTTTTAAACTCCCCTAAAGGTGACAGTCTTAAAAGGTTCTTTTGACATGTCTATTGCTTCCCATGCCTTTATTTTATAAGGAGTTGAATGCTTTCCAACCTTATGAGAAGTCATAAAAGTATTTTGCAGATTAAATCATAGTGCTAAACCAGAAAACATTTACTTTTAGAATGTCTGATGAAATACTAATATTATAAAACTTATCAAGAATCTTCTGGGAGGATTTTTGGCAAAATAGCCTTTTGGTCAGCACCCAATCTTACTTTTGATTTTCGTTTTAATAACTCTGCACAGCTTGTCTCTGGAATAAATTTAAGAGCATTCCACCCCTCACTGTAACATCTCGGGAAGCGTCTGAAGCTGGAGATCACCACAGCCTCCGTGCCCACACCTGGTATTGGCTTATTTGGAAAGCCATCAAGACAAGATGGAATGTAGTCACAAGCCCAGAGATTGAAATTTCTAGAAACATGTTGCCCTTTGTCTGCAGAAATCTTCTTACGACCCAGGCCCTGGAGAAGAATGAAAATATTTAAGGTCACATAGCTTTGAAGTTTTTGTCTACATGGCATGTATACATTCATAAATACACCATATGATAACTCTTACATAAAGCCCCCTTTAGCAACTTGTTAATTGTCATAAAGAGACAAAACAATCTGTTGATGTCCTTTATTGTTCTCATGCATTCCAGTGTCACCCCAAGGACTGAACTGTGAGGGATATGGAAGGCAAAGCCAGAGAAAGCCAAGCCAAGAAGAACATCTTCACCCACCTCAGCTCCTAGGACCCAGGGTAAGTCCCCATCCCTGGCATCCTCCCCACCCCTCAGCAGATACATGGCTCTTTAAGAAACCAGGAAAGTGATTCTTGCCCAGACCCCTGGCTCTGGGAAGGAAGAAGGACTCAGGATTCTACCCTCAGGCCTGCCCTTAACTCTAGGCACCTAACATGCAAACCTGAGAATCACTGTGTATTCAAACTTATACATTTGAAAAATGCAAATTAAAATATAAGTGAACACAAAGGGCCAAAGGAAACATACAGTGGATTACTCTGACTCTGTGTCAGTGAAATGCGGCTCATGAAGGTCAGGAGGTTTTAGTCGGGTTCATGACTTGAGGAGAGTTTTTAAAGGTGTTACAGTCGGCCCTCTGAATCTTTGGATTCAACCAACCCTGATTCAACTATCCCTGGATCAAACAAATGTTTTTTCAAAAATAACATCTGTAAAGCCTAGCAACTATGGTTCACACCCATAATTCTAGCTATATGAGATGCAGAGACCAGGAGGATCACAGTTCAAGACCAGTTGGGCAAAACAGTTCAGGGACTTTGTCTCAACCAGCAGTTGGGCTCAGTAGTTACACCTGTCTTCTCAAGTATATGAGAAGCTGAGATCAGGATTGTAGTTCAAATTATCTAGGCAAAAGTGTTTTCAAGGGCACAGATACACTCAAAAGCTGGGCACAGTGACAAGTACTGTCATCTCAGACACAGAGGGAGGTAGAAACAGGAGGACCAAAGAGCAAGGCAGGTCCGGTAGGGAGCACCAGCAAAGGCAACACCATCTTTCCTTACTTTCTCACTCATGCTTTCTATCCCCTTGTTAACATCCTTCTCCACAGGAACTGAATTATACAATTACATACAAAAATATCAGGTATCTGCTCTCATCGCATTCCTCTCCTTTCCCCTCCTCTTCTCCCTCTGCATCTCCTCCCCTCCATACTCTTATAGCTAAGTTCTAACTGTTACCTATACTATTCTTACTCTTCTAAACCTCAAGAGTACTATTTTAAAAAAAAGAACACCCTGCCTATATAATGTGATTGGTTTTGTAGATAATGTTACCAATAGTATCTTTTTTTATTTTTTATTTTTGGTTGGTCATGGGGCTTGAACTCTGGGCCTGGGCACTGCCCTTCAGCTCTTCAGCTCAAGGTGAGCACTCTACCATTTGAGCCACAGCACCACTTCCGGTTTTCTGGTGGTTTATTGGAGATAAGGGTTTCACAGCTTTTCCTGCCCAGGCTGGCTTTGAACTGTGATCTGCTGCTGGCGCCCAGCTACCAATAATAACTTAACTGTTCATAAATATCTGGCTGGGTTTTGAATTGGTGAATTTATTAGAACTGAGGTAGACTCTCACACCAGCAGTGAAAAACAGTTCAATCAACCCAGCTAACACTCAGTCCTACAAAATATACAGAATAAAATGGAAAGACTTCTGGTTCACAAAATCTGAAACCACAGTCTTCAAATGCAGAAACCCCAACATAGAAATACAAAAAAGCAAGGAAACAGCACCTCCATAAATCAGCAATTACATGATGAAGCATCAGAATGATAGTGAAGTGGAAGAAGCCTCATTCTGAGCTCAAAGGAATGCTGATAAGAAATATTAAATGAAATGAAAGAGGACATTTATGTACAACTACATGAATTCAAAGAGAATACAGCAAACTACTAAAGGAATTCAACAGGAATATCAAATAAATACAAATCAACAGCTAAATGAATTCAATGAGAATATAGCTAACCAGCTAAAAGAGATCAAAGAAGACACATATAAACAAATAAATGAAGTAAAGAAGTCAATTCAATATACATATATACACTCTAACTAAAGCATGAGTTACACAGAGGTGGATTTTACTAGTGTCACTCCTTTGGACAATCAGTTGTTTGAGAAAATGAACACCAGAAAGCTGAAGCATGCCTTGTCTGAAGTGGGGTAGAGTTGAAGAGGACAGGGGCAGATATATGGAGAGAGGAATGGTGGGAAAATCCAATCATAACAATTAATGTGGAAATGGAACCAGTGCCTTGAAACCATCTGTTCCAGCCAGGGTGAGAGGGATGGGGGAGGAGGGAAGGATGCGCTGGAAGGGGTGACATTGATCAAATGTATTGTACTAACAGATTGACATGTCCAATTAAAATCCTTTTGTTCAACTACTAAAGGTTTTTAGAAAATCAATTCAAGGCATGAGAACAGATCTCAATAAAGAAATAGAAATCTTGAAGGAAAAAAAAATGAAGTCCTGGGTATGAAAATTCAAATGGAAAGCCTCTCCAGAAAAGTAGATGATATGAAAGAATTTCAGGGCTTGAAGATAGAATGGACGCAGTAGAAAAAGTAAATGAAAATACAGAGAAAATATCAAAGAAATATGAAAAAAAATGAAGAAAGTCAGGAATCTATTTAAAAGACCAAACATATACACAATGGGCATATATGAAGGAGAGGCCATGCTAGCTGAGGCTCAACTCATTACTAGCAGAAGAATCCCCTACTGTGAAAGACATAATCGCGTTTAGGTGTAAGAGGTTTTCAGAACAATCTATAGACCAGAGTAGAAAACCATCTAACTGCTATATATTGTAGTTAAAATAATAAGCACAGAGAAAAATAAAGAATATTGAAATCTTCAAGAAAGAAAAGTATGTCACTTATAATACAGAAACCCATCAGAATAATAGCCTATTTCTCAGAAGACACTGTAATGGCAAAGAAGGTTTTGGTTTTTATATTACAAGCATTGAAAGTTAAAAATAAAAACCTGCCCAGCCAGAATATTCTACTCAGTGAAGTTATCATTTGTAATAGAAAGACAAATAAAAGTCTTTAACAAGGAACAAAAACTAAAACAATGTATCACAACTAGACCAGCACTGAAGATACTCAAAAACATCCTGTACACAGATCAATGTAAACATGAAAAAAGTAGAAAAACCAAATCCTATCAGGTAAGTAGATAAGTATAATAGGAGAAGAAAATTATCCAACACAAAAAATTTGATGGGGAGAGGAATGGTAGGAACAAGTATGTACCTTGCAATTTTAAGTTGAAATGGACTCAATCCTCCAATCAAAAGACTTAGGATGGCAAGTTGGATCAAATCGCAAGACCTATCAGTTGTATACAAGGAATACATCTACCTGACCAAAATAAGCATTAGTTTAGGTTGAAAGGCTGAAAATAAAAATGTCTTCCAAGCAAATTAATCCTGAAAGCAGGCAGAAGTAGTTCTACTCTCATATCTGACAAAGTAAATTTCAAAGAGAAATTACTTAGAATAGACAAAGAAGGTCACTTCATCATGTTAATAAAAGAAACTCGCCATGAAGCAGGCAGAACAGCAGGCACTGGTAGTTCACACCTGTAATCCTAGCTACTCGGAAGGCTGAGATGTGAGGCCCAAGTTGAAAGTTAGTCCAGACTAGAAAGTTAATGAGATTCTTCTTCTCTTAGCCACCAAAAAGCTGGAAATGTAGCTGTGGCTCAGGTGGTAGAGCACTCACTAGTCTTGAGGGAAAAAGCTTAAGAGATAGTGTTCATGCCCAAGTTCACAAAAAAGAAAAGAAAAGAAAAAAAAAAAAAACCAGAACAATTCTTAACATTTATCTACCACATGTTGGTGCATTCCACTTCATTAAATAAACATTACTGGACTTAAAGAAAAAAATGAAGAAAAGAGAAAATAAAGAAAATTTTAAAATTTACCATAATATAAAGCTTACCATAACTAAAAAGCTCAATATTAGACACAAAACAGATGGCCTAAAAACTGTAACCATATTAAAATTTCATAGCATTCTCTTAATTCTTTTAGTTAAAATAGTTAAAAATTAAACAAACTATTTAGAAGCAAATGAGTCCTTAATTAGGAAAAACCCTTGAAATGTGGCCAAGGCAAAAGCCTGAAGAATATTCATAGTTTCATAAATTTATTAACACAGTTTTTAAGTATTTGAACTAAACTTCAAGTGAAGGAAAAAAAAGAAGAGCAAACTAAAGGTGTTTCTTGGGGGTTACCAGGATTGTTTTTAATCAAGTAGATAAAATTTTAGACACACATATCAGTAAAAGATACAGAAAGGGACATTGACCAGGTGAACAGATTTTATATTCGGCCCTACTTGGTCGGGAGGTTTTGTTCTGTAGTGCTCGGCTGGAGCTATAGCCCCACCCCCTAATAATTTGAAAATAAATACTCACAGTGTCAAAATAGTATCCAGTGTTCTCGAAACTGTGGCGATTGTCGTGCATGGAGAAGGGGAAGCTGTTATTGACCGCTTGCTGGAGAAGAAGGGAAGGAGAGAAGAAAAGGCACTCCAGGGTCTGCCCTGCGCCTTTAGAAGGGAGGACAATGACTGGGGGGAGGGGAGATGGACGAGGTGACCTCCCAGGGAGTCGATAAACCCATCACCCACGGGAGCACACAGGGCAGGACACAGTTGCCAAAAGCAGTGTGCCTGTCAGCTCAGACTTTGAAATGTACCACTTTCTAAGTTTGAAACTTAGCCACTTTTCCTTATTCCTTCCTTCAAAAAGACTTCCTTTGGAAACAAGGATGGACTATTGCGTGGGCTCACAGAACCTAAAGTCAGCACTGTGTGCCAACTGGTGTGTGTGTGTGTGTGTGTGTGTGTGTGTGTGTGTGTGTGTGAGACTAGTAAGGATCCTGAAACTCAAATACTGGCCCCAGGTCCAGACTGAGTCTGGGAGGTGATGAGACATAGGCTGCTCCCACCACATGAGGCCAGAAGTTGTCTTTGAACGGATCCAGAGCAGCTCATGCGCTGATGGGCTTAGTGTGCAGGCACAGGTGCCCGTGGGGAGCTGAGCCCTCTGTCCGGACCAGGAAGCCTCACGCACTGACCCGGACATGCCCAGAGACCCGCAATGGGCAGTGCCTACCGGGAAACGTGGTCCCACCGAGATCCTGCAACTGTGCTCTGGGCTTGCACTCACCTTCTCCCGGATTTTGAATATTGGTGGCAGTTTACTCTCCAATTGCCCGATCAAATGTGGACAGTGGGGCTCTTTTAACATCCCACTGGTAATAGATTCTGGTGTCTTCTGTGTTAATCCAATGTGAGGAAACTGAGGGGGAAAAAAAGCACATGCCTGATTAGAACCAGGCTCGGCTGAGCTGCTGAGCCAAGGGCTTCCTCTGACGGTGAGTAAATTTGGGAGTAATTTGGGGGCTTCTGGAATGCCGTGGGAGGGGTGTCATCTTTGCCATTTCCAAGTAATCTTTCCAAGATACAAACATTGTGATGATCCAGAGCCTTTACTGCGGCTGTTTGGGGCCACCCAGCGGTGCCTGAGGAGGCCTGGAAAGGTTTCCACCAATGGTGAGAACAAGCGGACTTCCTGGGAGAAGACAGACATGTTGTCTGTGGTCTTCCTCTGGCCAGTGCCTGGATCTACCTCATGTTCGGTGGGACAAGGTGACCTCCAGCCCGGCAGGTAAGAGAAGGTCCCCAAGACCAGGGGAAGAGGGGAAGCAGGAGGGTCCCACTGACCCTTCAGCCAGAACATGACACAGGGAAGGGCAGGAAAAGCCCATGAAGGGGCCAGGAAGGGATGGAGCAAAAACAAGGAAGACAAGAAAGGTTGAGTCTTCCTCTATAAGGAAAGGAAGGAAATGGGGCTGGAAAGAGTGAAATGGACCTGGCAAGTCCTCAGCTGACCCTTTGGGCAACACTGGGGCGTGAGATGGCACTCAGAGTTGTTCTGGATTGGGCTGAGAGGACCTGGCTTTTCTGTAATGGATCAGTGCTTGGGTGGAGTCCTGCGCTGTCCCAGGTGACCTCGATGAGGTGACCTTGAGGAGGCAGATCTCTTCCTTGGACAGTGGGGACCACACTCTCAGCAGCTGGAGCTATGTGACCCTTATTCCTGAGGCCAGGGTGTCTAGTACCGGAGGCCCAGGGGAACTCACTCCAGTTGTATTTAAATAGCACCCCTGAAAAGCTACCCAGACAAAGCAAGCTTTGAAGTAGAGCTCTCTAGAAGAAGAAAATGAGTATAAATTAAAACTCGATTCTTGGTGAGGTTCCCCACAAAGGGAGAAGACTCTCGTATTGGGGCTACAGCCCAGGCTACTAATTCAGGAGCCCCAATGTGAGGAACTTCCGCCCCCTTATCTATAAAGTGGGAATAATCATAACTACCTGACAGGGTGGTTTGATTTTCAAAGCAAGCACAACATAATAAGTGTGGGAAGATTCTTCTTGCTCACTGCTCTCCCCTTCTTTCTTCCCAAACCCACTGACATCACCTTAGGTCAATCTTCCTTTTTTCCCTCTTGTAGTATGATGACATTGGCGAACTCTACAATTCTCCTTCAAGTCACAATCAAACTGTATATCCAGCAAGCTGCAGATTGGTGTCTGCCCAAGAGTGTGCTGAGTGAATTATCATTTGTATAAAAAGGCTGAGATTATTTTACAAATGTTATATGGGGAGGGCATTCTCTGTGGCCATCAGAAGCTAGAAGACACAGAGCAATGGTAGATCTATTAAAGGAAGCACAGATGGAGAGACAGGAAGAGAGGAAAGAGGCAAAAAGATACATATAACCAGCACTATTTATGTGAATAAGTCTATGCACCCAAAACAATAGATGATATACAAGAGCACATTGAGATAAAAGTCCAAGAACAGCTATTAAAACCATTGAAATGGCTGCCTGAGGATGAAGAGAAAACAAATGAAGGTTGAGAACTATGAAAACACCACACAAGCCCACGGGTGTTTATGGGTGTTCTATGAAAACACCACACAAGGGGCTGGGAAGGCGGCTCAGTGGTAGAGCGCTTGCCTTGCATGCATGAGGCCCTGGGTTCGATTCCTCAGCACCACATAAGCAAAAAAAAAAAAAAGCCGGAAGTGGTGCTGTGGCTCAAGTGGTAGAGCGCTAGCCTTGAGCTGAAGAGCTAAGGAACAGTGCCCAGGCCCAGAGTTCAGGCCCCACGACCGGACCAAAAATAAAAAGAAAACACCACACAAGCCCACGGGTGTTTATGGGTGTTCTATGAAAACATCACACAAGCCCATGGGTGTTTATGGGTGTTTTCCCAGAGCATATGTGGTGGACTGGCCAATCCTGAGGAGGAGCACCAGGGAAGGAGAAACTTTCTTTCCATCCACAACCACTTTGTGCCATCTAAGTATCAACTGTATTGTCTTTCCACAAGAAAACGAGGGGAAAAAAGAATGATAAGAAAGCAAATGTTCCTGAAATCCTACCATCTTTTGCACTCTTTGTGCCTACACAAATGTACATCCACATGGATGATGATTTTTGTGTTACAGTATCACCTCATGGCTAATAGGATAAAAAATTTTTAGAGTTCACATTGACTTATTAATGTCAGCTTCTTGTCAACTCTGCTGCCAAGCCAGATACCAATGCTGGCAACTGAGTCCCTAAATGTTCACACCCAAACACAGGTATATACAGATGGGGACCAATATTGCCTTTCAGAAAAAACCTGGACACAGGCTTGGGATGTGGCTTAGTGGTAGAGTGCTGCCTAGCATGCATGAAGCCTTGGGTTCAATTCCTTGGTACCACATGAACAATAAAGAAATTAAAACTGAAATGTAAACAAAATCTGGATTCTATGTCACATATGCTTTGCACCTTGACTTTTACTCACTTAACAGTATACCCTAGAAATCTGCCAATGAATATATATATAGTATATAACATTCTGTATTATATTTTTGATTGTTTCTAAATGATATATAACATTCTGTATTATACTTTTGTTTCTGAATTTTTTTTGTCAGTTGTGGGACTTGAACTCTGGGCCTGGGCACTGACCCTCAGCTCTTCAGCTCAAGGCTAGCACTCTACCACTTGAGCCACAGCACCACTTCTGGTTTTCTGGTGGTTTATTGGAGATAAGAGTCTCCTGGACTTTCCTGCCTGAGCTGGCTTTGAACCACGATCCTCAGATCTCAGCCTCCTGAGTAGCTAGGATTATAGGCATGAGCCACTGATACCCGGCCTCTAAATGATTTTTTGTAGTAAACATAAATTATACATGGACTCAAGGTCATACCCACCCCTCCCCCTGTGTCTTGCCCCTCCCACCTTCCCTCCCAACTGTGGAAATCCGGGCAGTGGAGCAGCTGCTCCCTGGCCACTGCCTGTGAGTTCATTTTTAGTCTCCAAGTCTATGGACCAAACTGCTGTTTTCAAAAAATAAAATAACTGTAGCATTTTAATTTCACTCTTAAAAAAAATCTATTTAATGGCTCTCACATGATAGCTGTGAAGTAAACCCTTCTGTTAGATATCGTAACCATGAAATACTGCTTTTTAACCGGTTGGCAGTGAAATTTTTGCTGCGTGCAATCACTCCGTGACCAAAATATTAAATAGGAAAATGAAAGTATGGAGAAAAAGACTTTCCTGCCTGGCCACAGCCAGATGACATCCAGCCAGGTCAACTGCAGAACGGCGGTCACCTCTAATGCGCAATGACTGTCTTCCCCAATGGGCGGCCGCTGAGTCAAAGCCAACAGTGTCTTTCATGTTCCGACCTCATCTACAAGTTGCTTTGGGAAATTCATGCTCAGTACTATCCTTTTATGCCCTCAGGGCAGACAGCAGGAAGGGGTTGCACCAGGACTCAACTCAAACCTAGGGGAACATTTGCCCCAAGCCTGGGACTGCACTCCACACGCCCAGTGGGAGGATGATATGAAAACCTCCCTAGGACACAAAGTAGATTCTCTCCCCCTTCTCTCCCTCCTCAGCCCCTTCCTCCTCCTCCTCCTCCTTCTTCTTATCAGTTGTGAGGCCTGAACTCAGGTCCTGGGAGCTCTGTCCCAGATCTCTTCTACCTCTTTGAGCCATAGCAGCAATTCTTGTTTTCTGGTGGTTAATTGGAGATAAGAGTCTCATGGATTTTGATCCTCAGATCTCAGCCTCCTTAGTAGCTAGGACTTCAGGCAGGTGTCACCAGCACCCAGCTCTAACTTCTTGTTTTATGAAAACCAATGTGCAGATGTGAAAATGCTTCCCTGGGCTCCCGGGCAGCTGAGTTGCCTACATGACCCACTGAGCGAGGGCACAATGCCATTGGCAGGGCTTCTGGAAAGGTAGTTTCCTGATCCAAAGGGGCAGACTCAATAGACAGATGCTTCCCATCTTCTTGTTCTTTGAGCTTCCTCCCACTTCCATGCACTGGTTATGGGCTCACATGTGTACAAAATATACCTGTGTTATAGATAGCAAGTGCAGACAAGTTAACTACAAGACCTATACTTTATTTATTTATTTTTAATTTTTTTGGGGGTCCGGTTGTGGGGCCTGAACTCTGGGCCTGGGCGCTGTCCCTCAGCTCTTCAGTTCAAGGCTAGCGCTCTACCACTTGAGCCACAGCACCACTTCTTCTTGCTTATGTGGTGCTGAGGAATTGAACCCAGGGCCTCTGGCATGCAAGGCAAGCGCTCTACCACTGAGCTACCTTCCCAGCCTGAGACCTATACTTTATGCTGCACACTTCTAACTGAAAAAAAAATTCATCAAGCCTCATAATAACATTCCAGTCTTACATTATGCTCCCATTTTATAAGAAAATAAACCGAGACCAGAGATTAGTTCTTTAGTACTGGGTCTTGAAATCAGGGTCTCATGCACGCGCACAGGTGCATGCATGAAAGAGCGAGGGGGGAAGAGAAAGAGAAAGAGAAAGACAGAGAGAGAGAGACAGAGACAGAGAGAGGCAGAGAGCGAGAGAAGGACGGAGGGAGGGAGGGAGAATATGCTTGTGCTGGTCCTGGAGGACCAGGCTCAGGGCTTGAGCACTGTCTGGAGCTTTTGTGCTCAAAACCAGGGCTCCACCACTTGAGCCACAGCTCCATTTCTGGCTTTTTTTTAGTAGTTAATTGGATATAAGTGTCTCATGGACTTTCTGGCCCAGGCTAGATTCAAACTGCACTCTTCAGACCTCAGCCTCTTGAGTAGCTAAGAGTATAGGTGTGGGTCACTGGCGCCCAGCTTAGTTGGCTTTCTTGCTAGAGGTTGGTACTCTACCAGCTGAGCACAGCTGCATGTCAAGCTTTTTGCTGGTTAATATACTTTTCTGTCAAGTTTGGCTTTGAACTAAGATCCTCAGATTTCAGCGTCCTGAGTGGCTAGGATGAAAGGCTTGAGTCAACCCCCTACCCCACCCCCACCACCGCTGCCCCATTTCTCAGTCTTAACCCAAGGTTATGTCTGAAAGTATGTGCAGTTTTTTGGGGGGGAGGGGGTTTATGTGTGTGTTTTTGCCAGTCATGGGGCCTGAACTCTGGGCCTGAGCGCTGTCCCTCAGCTCTTCAGCTCAAGGCTAGCACTCGAGCCAGTGTGACACTGCTGGCTTTTCTGCTTATATGGTTGCTGAGAAATCGAACCCAGGGCCTCATGCATGCA